AGATATTTGTGAAAAGAAAATATAGTATGTCTTTGTTGATTAAGTATAAATGCCAAGTTAAACTTAATTTTATTAACCATGAGTATTATATTTGTTTGTATTTATTTAAATTCTTTTTCACCAATAAATAATTGTTACCATTAGCTTTTTTTTTTGGGTCCAAAGTTACCATTAACTTTACAAGCCGGTAAACTGATAAAATTGTTTAAAATCCCATTTATAATTTAAGTGGAAAAAGTATCATCCCAAGAGATTTCTCTAACAACAAGTTGGAGCAAAAGGATATATGGGAGAATTTACATAGGCTTTGTAATTTTTTATTACTATGATTATCATTAAAATGTCTGAATCTTAATTAGTACACATCTGATGAATAAGCTACTCCCTCCGGTCCAAAATAAATGATTTTTTGGCCTTTTCTTGTGGTCCAAAATAAGTGATTTTTTCAGATTTCAAGGATGAATTAATTATTTTTTTCCTACATTGTCCTTGGAGTAAATAGTGTTGGAATATGTGTTAGGAGTGTTTACGTGAGATAGTAAAGGTTAATATGATCAATTTCATTACTAATTAATGCTAAAAGGTGGATTTCTTAATCTGTGTGAAAACATCCAAAAAATCACTTATTTTGGACCGGAGGGAGTATTATGTTTAGATGTGAACGGCGACTAGTTAAAATTATTTTCTTTCTTAGGATGTGAAAATGTATAAATCCTTATTTCAAATTAATCAATGTACAATTTAATTAATCTTATAATAATGAATATTATATCTGTAAAATATTAGAGAAAGTATTCATTACATAGTGTATTGTGCAATTTGCTCTATGTTTCTGGAAAACAGAGATATTGCCTACTCAGCAAAAAGAAGGGGCTCGAGGAGAATAATGATCAACTATTCTGAATTTCAACATTATACTATACCTCTTACCCAAAAAAATAAAAATAAATTATACCTTTAAAAAAATTAGGATTTGCTGCCTTTCAAGAGACCATGCTTTAATTTGATACTCCCTCCGATGCAAAATAAGTGATTTTTTGGATGTTTTAACACAAATTAAAAAATCCACCTTTTAGCATTAATTAGCAATGGAATTGACCATATTAATCTTTACCATCTCACATAAACATTCCTAACACATATTCCAACACCATTTCAGGACAATGTAGGAAAAAAAATAATTAATTCATTCTTGAAATCTGGAAAAATCACTTATTTTGGACCACAAGAAAAATGTCAAAAAATCACTTATTTTGGACCGGAGGGAGTAAGAACTTAAAATTAAAAATAAACAGGCTAACGAAGAGCAGATATCTTAGACCTTGTTTCTCCTAATATTCCTTTCTTGTGGTGTTGTGTTTTTTTTGTCCTTAAGTAATACAATACATTGCTATAAGAGGCTTTCAAAATATTTTTTTACCACCAAAAGTTTTAGAGATACATATGTGAAGACTAAAAAAAAAGAGTAAAATCAAGATAATTTAACATTCAAAAGCACAAGCACAAATGCTAGGTCCAGCAAGTTGAGGTGCACAAGTAGCTCCTGTTCCACCTCCTAGTATATGCTTGCAAGCAGCCAAGCAGTCTGGTTCTGGGTCATCATTCTTGCAAAATATCTCATTCAACACTTTGAAGCATGTTTTGGCCTCAACTCGTCCTACTTTCACAACATTTTCATCAACTGCATGTGATAAAAAAAAATAAAGAATGTAATTAGTCAAATTAATTCTTGATGGAGACTGGCTCGTATTATCGAGCATAAACTAAAAAAGGGTAGTCAGTTGCACAAAGCATTTTACATGCACATAGGGTCCGAGGAAGGACCACACTTCAAGGGTGTGATGTAGACAACCTACCCTAATACAAAAATTAGTGACTACTTCCGCGGCTCAAAACCGTGACCTATAGGTCACACGAAAATAACTAAATTCTCCAAAATTCGTGATCGAGCAATAACAAATTTTGGTGCTCAAATAATATCGCACAACTAAAAATCTCGAAATACAAGAAAAAGAACAGTGTATATTACCAAGGACGAGGGAAACCAAAACAAGAACACAACACAGGGATGCTAAAGACTTTGCCATCTTTTGGTTATTGAATTTGCTGAAGTTACAACTTTATAACAGGCGGTGTATAGAGATAATCTGATTGAGATTAGACCTCGGTGATAAAAATCTAATTGAGGTTTTGTTTCTAATTCTAGAGAAAATATTGTATTTATTACATCCATATCTTGTATTTAGTGAATGGTCAATAGTCAACTCGAAAAGAGCGGAGTCCTAAGCCCTTACAACTAGTGTATCTTTAATGTGTAATGTTTGTACACTAATTATATATGGAGTAGAAATCAATTATATAGAGTATGAATTGTTCATCGATAATTAGTAACCGAGTATGTCGTATATTCGCTGTATTTTTTTTTTTTACATATTGAAGTGAAGGGGAAACTTGAAGCGCAAGCGGGAGTAGTGTGTGGATAGTACACGATGAACTTGTATACGGTCAAGATTGTATGCCTTCGATCTATAGGCTCGAGAGGTCGTCCAAAGCTCGGGATCGCCTTAGGTCCGAGTTCAAGCAAGCTCGAGTTCAAGGTCGACTCACTAGACTCGAGCCGAGAACGGAATGCAACGCCCGAAGATTGACACGTGAGGTACACCGAAGCTGGGCATGCTTGACCCCGAAATAGTACCGTTATGGACTTGTAACAGAATGGGCTAGATTCCTGCCACGTCCCCAAGATCATGGCACAAATCCCGGAATAGGATTGTACGATTCCGTACTAGGCGGTTAGACAGCTGTACCAAGAATATTCTTTACTGTAAATAGAAATATACCTTATTTAGGATTCCCGTATTATATAAAGGAGGATCCAATTCCTCTCTATTTTCTAATGACTCCATTTCCCCAAGTTCTCACTTGGATGAGTGACATGTATCTCATTTTAATATCAATAGTTTAAATTCAATTAATTAAAGCAAGCTCTTAACCATAGTTAGATAATAGATTCTTCCATATATTACTCCCAAAAAAATTGGCAAGCCCACAAATGTAGCTACAAATTTCCTTCTTTTCCGTAATATTTTTCCAAATATTTGGCAGTAATCTCACAATTCTGGAGCAGGTTTTCTTCAAAAAAATAGATTGCATGTTTGCATAATTGAAAAAAGGAAAAATACATAGTATAAAACTCTAAATTAATCACAATCTAATGCAAAGAATTATTTAAAAGCAAATATCATCAACTATTATACGCTTTTTCCCCCTTGATCCTTGTACGGTGGCTGCGCCACCAACTGTGGTGGTGGATGACAAGAACCAATGAATATATCTCTTTTAACCTTAACGACATATACGAAAAAAGAGTTACTGAATTTTTGCGCTCACTAAATTCGCTTAAGTGCAGATATTTCTTTTCTTGTTTATAGCTCGTGTATGTTGTGCTTTAGATGTCAATTATTTAACATTAGAGAGATTTAAATATTTATTTGTGAGAAGCTGAAAAACGAAAGTTTAGCATATTGTTTCACTAAATTTGAAAGGAGTTCGCGAGACTAAAATAATAAGCATTTAAACAATGAAGGAAAATAAAATAGTGATCTACAATACGTCATCCAAATATTTGGAAAATCATTTTCAAAAATATGGAAATTTGCTGCTACCAAGAGATTACCAAATCTTTTGGGAGCAAGTACATGAGAGAATCTATTATCTAACTGTGGTTAAGAGCTTAATTTAATTAATTAAATTTAAGCCATTGATATTAAGATGAGACACATGTCATGCATCTAAGTGAGAACTTGGGGAAATGGAGGCATTAAAAAATGGAGGGGAGTTGGTTCCTATAAAGGAGACCCCAATCATTGTTACATCATCTCATCATTGGCAAGAATATACTGTCCTTTACATTTATTATTCTTACTTTTTGCTCTTAGTCCATCTCGAGGTCACCACTGCCGAGTAACATTGGTTTGATTCACTTATTCCTTTCATTTCTACTTCATATTTCTTGAATACTAATTGGTATTGAATTTAATCACATATCTTTAAAACCACAAATCAAATTTAATTGTTACTCGTATTTTCGAGGTAAACAGTTTGGCGCCCACGTGGGGCTAAGATAATAGTGATTGTTTCTTTACCGATTCTCATTACACAAGTTATACCTTCAGATTATCTTTGACTTTCAGCTACTTGCAGTTATTATATTATCAGTTCAGTTTCAGCTTTCAGTACATTGCCTTACATACTCGGTACATTATTTCGTACATGACGTCCCTTTTTGGGGACGCTGCATTTCATGCGTGCAAGTTCAGACAGACAGACGGGTAGACCTCCTCAGTAGGTGTTTGCCCGAGTTCATCTTTATCGGTAAGCTCCCCGTCCTTCGGAGTTACCGGGTCTAGAAGTTTTGTGTACATCTTGTGTATATATGTAGATAGGTTATGGGTAGGTTCGGGACCCTGTTCCGATCACAGTACATCCATCAGTAGAGGCTTGTAGACATATCCTGTCGGTTAGCGTAGTATGTTGGGCTTGTAGACCCTGTATGTATATTTTGTTGGCTCGTCAGTTGTAGTAATTATGACGGCCTTGCCGGCCCAGCTGTATGTTGACATTTAGTCAACGTTAGTCTCTATGCAGTTTTATATTTTGCATTGTACATTATCTTGTAATGTGGCCCATGGCCAAAGTATACATATCAGAATCTCTTAGTCGCAAGTTGGTACGCAAGAATAGATGAGGCACCAGGTGCCGGTCTCGCCCCTAGGCTCAGGGCTTGACAAAAGTGGTATTAGAGCATTTCTGTCTTAGGGAGTCTACAAGCCGTGTCTAGTAGGGTCTTGTTTATAGATGTGTGGTGCACCACATTATATAAGCAGGGGACTACAGGGCATTTAGGAGTTGGTTACCCTTCTTTCAAATCTAAATCGTGCTGTAGCACTGAGTTATAGGAAATTTGAGTTAAACTTACGTGCTGACGTTTGCAGATACAGATGACGGTAACCAGGAAGACTACGGCTAGCCAGAGGAGAGAAACAGCAGTAGGTGAGGCGACTAGCAGGGTACCCCCAGCAGATGGGGCCAAATCGGAGTCACAGGGAGAGATCCCTACCCAGCAATTACCGGCTCCTCCACCACCTGAGGAGATTCCTAGGGAGACCGCACATCCAACTCCCCCTCCGCTTCCATCAGATCAGGACTTGAGAAGTGCGGTGCATTTGTTGGCACAGTTTGTAGCTACCCAACAACAGGCTAGGGCATCCGCTAGTACAGGACCATCAGAGGGATCTGGGAGTTCATGGGTCCGAGAGTTTATTGCTTTGAGTCCCCCATAGTTCACGGGGACAGACCAGACCTGAAGACACAAAGAAAACAGCGGTGGAAATACCTTCCAAACGAACAAAACCATCGAGACAGCTTGGTGCTCTACTCCATGATAATTGACCACTCAAGGATCTTTTCCCCCAAATAACCCGATTTTGCATGGGGTCTCTGTCCAGATTTTTCTGGAGAAAAAGACTCATGAGAGTCGACTAACAGGGATGCCTAAAGCTCCACACAAACGGACCTCTTAAACTTCAGGCTTAAGAAGAAAATAAATCAATGAACCAAGAAATTTTAAGAACTCTGGTCATTTTTTAGATCTGAATTCAAGGACTCTGGGGTGTTTTTTGAAGAAATTAAAACGAGACATGAGACAAGGAGGAAGAGGAGATCATGGGTTGTGATTTTTAGTGATTTTGGAGGAGTTTGTGTGGTGGCCGCCAACTAAAATGGTAGGAGCGTCTTGGGGCGGCTAGGTTTAGGTTAGATGAGAGATGAGAGAGGAAGACGAAAATGAGGAATGGATTTAGGGTTTTGGGGGGGGGGGGTGTCTTCGGACATATATATGGAGTGTGGGTGGTGAGTTCCCATCCGTTCGATCAAAAGAGATCAACGGATGGGATTTGAGGGCACTGAAACGACGTCGTTTGGGCTGGACCGGGTAGAAGGGTATTGTGTTTGGGTTTGGGCTGACTTGGGTATAGATTGGCCCAATTTCAGGTTTAAAACATGCCTATTTTTTTCAATTTCCTTTTTCTTTTTCTTTGTTTTCTTTTTCTTTCTTTAATTACTTAAAATCCTAAATTAAATCTTAAATTAATCTAGTCTGCAAAATTAAGCTAATTATCTAATTATAATATTTACAAAATTAGTTGATCCTAAATTAAAGAAAAAAAAATTACTAAATTAGCATTAAAGGCTAAAATGTAAAAAATAAAAAATATATTTTGTGATTTTCGTTTTAATAAAGCAATCAATTAACTAATTAATCCTAAAATATGAACACAAAATCTAAATGCAATGCATGATATTTTTTGACATTTTTTTATGATTTTAACAGAATTAGACGTGCACAAAAAATGCAAACAATTAACAAAATTCTACAAAAATCCTATAAAATTGCAATCAATTTAGGAAAAATCTATTTCTTTAATTTTTAGGAGTATTTCACATAGGACAAAAATCACGTGCTCACAGCTGCCCCTCTTTGCTCGGAAACACGAAGAGTTTTCGGGCAAAGATAAAGTGAGCAGATACGAGCGATTTTTGCCCGCTTGGATACTCTGTGGGAAGCATTTTTGAAAGATCTCACTGGACCTTGCTTCCGAGGTTGCCTACATATCCTTGGCTATAAAGGAATCATGTCAGTGTAGTTCTGGAAGTTTTGGTAGCTAGGACTACCGAGAAGCTGTGATTTCACTGCTGCTGCTATTGCTTGCAGAGCTCCTTATTACACCGTGACAAAATGAAAAGGAACTAGACTAATCTATGATCTATGAGTTACAAGAATCCTATATATATCTTCAAACTTGATCTTGAAACTTCTGCAGTTCTGCCGCGCATCTTGAACTGTTGACTAGCACTCTTGAGGCGAGCTTTTGCTATTTCTAACTTGAATCGGCATCATTCTTCGGGCGAGTTCTTGCTGTTGTCTTGGGCTTACTTCTGCAATGAATTTCCTTATTTTCCAGGTGGGCGCCTGATGCTGAAACTTGAAATAAATTCCCTTGTTATCTAGGTGGGCGCCTGATGCGAAACTTGAAATCTATTCCCTTGTTATCCAGGTGGGCGCCTGATGCGAAAACTTGAAATGTATTCCCTTGTTATCCAGGTGGGCGCCTGATGCAAAAACTTGAAATGTATTCCCTTGTTATCTAGGTGGGCACCTGATGCAAAAACTTGAATGCATTCCCTTGTTATCCAGGTGGGCGCCTGATGCAAAAACTTGAAATGTATACCCTTGTTATCCAGGTGGGCGCCTGATGCAAAAACTTGAAATGTATTCCCTTGTTATCCAGGTGGGCGCCTGATGCAAAACTTGAAATGTATTCCCTTGTTATCCAGGTGGGCGCCTGATGCAAAAACTTGAAATGTATTCCCTTGTTATCCAGGTGGGCGCCTCATGCTATAACTCGAAATGTATTTCCTTGTTATCCAGGTGGGCGCGTGATGCAAAAACATGAAATGTATTCCCTTGTTTTCCAGGTGGGCGTTCCAGGTGGGCGCCTGATGCAAAAACTTCAAATGTATTCCCTTGTTTTCCGGGTGGGCGCCTGANTGGGCTCCTGATGCAAAACTTGAAATATATTCCCTTGTTATCCAAGTGGGCGCCTGACGCAAAACTTGAAATGTATTCCTTTGTTATCCAGGTGGGCGCCTGATGCAGAACTTAAATCGCATTATCCAGGAGGGTCCTGAAAACTTGAAATTAAATCCCATTATCCAGGAGGGTCCTGAAAACTTTTAAATTAAATCCCATTATCCAGGAGGGTCCTGACAACTTAAAACTACATCCCATTATCCAGGAGGGTCCTGAAAACTTGAAATTAAATCCCATTATCGAGGAGGGTCCTGAAAACCTGAAATTAAATCCCATTATCCAGGAGGGTCCTGAGAACTTGAAATTAAATCTTATTATCCAGGAGGGTCCTGAAAACTTTTAAGTTAAATCCCATTATCCAGGAGGGTCCTGAAAACCTGAAATTAAATCCTATTACGGGGGGTCCTGAAAACCTGAAATTAAATCCCATTATCCAGGAGGGTCCTGAAAACTTTTAAATTAAATCCCATTATCCAGGAGGGTCCTGACAACTTAA